CCCAAAACCCCAAAACCCCAAAACCCCAAAACCCCAAAACCCCAAAACCCCAGATGATAAAATTATAGTCCATCAAATGATAAATTTATGTTGATATAAATTCGTCTTACAGATTTGAATATTAAATTTTTAGCTACATTTGGTCATTGTTGATTTAAGATAAAGGGAGATTTTGGTATCATATCCCAATCATCAAAGTATACATGTCTGCTGGCAATTACCTCTGAGCCTTATTCTAAGATACTAATTACCAAATGTAATGGACTGTCCTTTGCACCCGCCATCAGATTTAAATCTACTCCTTCGTGGAACTCTGAATTGTTAAAAGCGAAATGGAATCTGCAAGGAGAGTTGAAGAAGGTCAGTTCATTGTGTGAGCCAAAGATCATGTTTAAACTTGAAATATGGTTATAATCCCCTCTGTTATTATTTGGATTTGAACCCCTGTATCTTATGGAATCCCTTAATCTTTCCCTTAGATTAAACTGGGCTGATCTACTTCCACCAGCAGAGTATCTGCTTTATGTGTCTCTATTATCCCCCACACCATTTAAAGTTTACTCCTGGGCCTGGTTTTCTTTCCAGATGTCTTTAAATTTAGAGGCATGTCTCAAATCCACAGCAATTCTGATGACATCCTTCGCCTCAATAGGTGTCTTGATCTTAATAAACTTGTTAGAGTATACTTGCAACTGCTGTCCGTTACTCCAGAAACTAGAGTCAAAACAGTTTAGCATCACTGAATTCTTGGCTCTATGCACGTCTTCCAATGACTAGTTTTCATTTAGTGAACACAATCCTACAAAAACTTATTTCATAATGGCTTATGAATATGGTTGTTATGCCTAATTTGAAGTTTGGTGGGAAGCTTATAGATTCCTAACCGATATCTCAAAGTAGTGAATACCATGGAGGGGCAGCTATTCACTCATAATGGCAGCTGAGTAGGGGGATGATCTTGTTGGTTGACTACTTTCATCTGGGTTTGGAATAGGTTTTTAAATTGAAACCCCAATACTATTTTTTAATTTTTAGACCTACAACTATTCATGACTGATGTCAAATGTCTGATTCAATCCTCTGAATTAGAACTTAGGGTTGCATTCTAGCTCATACTTACTTATTACCTCTCTAGCTAGTTTGAACTAAAGGGCCTCAAAGATCTTTTAATCCTCAAAGAAACCAGAGAATTTGATGTCAGTTACTAATAACTTATTATTTATATGAGGCAATCTGATATGATTCAAAAGGCATTTTAAGAATTGCAATTCATACTCTTCTATCAAATTGTTATGGTTACTTGTCCTTTTCATGTCCTCGCTATCCTTAGATTCCTGCTTAGACTCACTGATCTTAAATGAGAGAATCTTTTCCTCTATAGCTTTGAATAAAAGAGATTCAGATACTAGAGTCTCGGATGAACTCACAAGTTGTAGGATGAGATCTTTAGGCAAATTAAAGAAATCTTATTTGGTTTACTCTCCCTCTAGAATTTCTGGCAAGACTTTCTGGAGCTTTTCAAATAAAATGTCTTGTAAATCCTATTCAGACACCTCTATATGAATAGATTCTAGATGCTTTGACTTCTGAGATCTGTTGGAATTTTAATTGGACTTCTTCTCTTCTGAGTTTTTCAGAGAATCCTAATTCTCTTATTCAGGGGATTTCTCTGCTGGTTAGGATTTATTTTCCTCATCATTTTCTAAAATACTTTGTTTCATCTCTTCTGATGGTACTTCTTATATCTCTGCAAGTGCTTAATTCCGAGGCTGATTGTTGCTAGAGGTACTTTGTTTCCTAGATTTGCTACTTTACCATATTTCCTTAAGGACTCTGCACAAGATATCATTTTCTATCTTTTCTGGAATGATCCCAACTAAGAATTATCGCATTTCATCGAAATCAGTTGATTCATCTCTGACTTCGCAGTATAAAATGCATAAGTCAAAGGCATTAAAGTACCCATTTAGTAAGTACTATTTGCAGGAACTGGTTAATGATTCAAGTCCAAGGAAACTAGCAATCTTGAGCACCCCCATAATACTAGACACATCTATCTTAAGTTTACCTGTATACATATATTTCAGGATTTCTCGCATTGAATTCTCAGTGAATTCCTCAAAATGAGCAACTTGCTGATTCACATCATTCCAATCCCGACAGAATTTAGACTAAAAGTAAGGGCAACGAGCAGATAGTACTATCCTGTGAGCTGGAATTTCAACACAACTAAGGAAATTTTAAGTAAAGAGGTTAAAGTTTACTTTTAGGATTAACTCTAAAGTATAGAGGTCTAATTTCTGAGACTTTCAAACTGACTAGTTGACTTCCTAACTCTTATTTTAATGTCAGATAATGATTCTAAGAATAAGAACTGAGAGAAGTCTTGTGATAACTATGTTGAATGGTTGATCTCATTTGGACTAGAATTATTGTTCTCATCATCGGATGAGGTGCCTGAGAACTTTCTCTTTTTGTTAGTGCTTGGACCTAAACTCAATAAATGGAGTCTTGATTCTGCTCGATTAGCTGATTAAGCATGATGATGTGTATTAGGAGCATATGATACACTCCTGTTTTAAGAATCATCTCTTAATTGGCGATTAGGTGATTAGAATTCTCTTAGCTGATAGTCTATATCTTCATGCAACTAAGTTAACCGTGCAGATCTGAGGACTGTATGATAATGATTGCTTCTCATATTTTTGACTTAAATTTTTCTTTTAAATTTACTTGAAAAGTCAGTTAATTCTTTCAATACCCAAGAAATGCTTATCTGAACATAACGGGGTTTTGGGGTTTTGGGGTTTTGGGGTTTTGGGG